TATATATATATATATATATATATATATATATATATATATATATATATATATATATATATATATATATATATATATATATATATATATATATATATATATATATATATATCCAAACTGTTTTAGATTTCCTTACTGTCAGTATGATTGATTCCAATGTCATTTGTCACTGTACAGACAGTAACCTGACGATGAGTTTATTACGCATAGGGAAACATTGTACCAAAAAACATAGACAAAGTTTTTGCTCCACCGATTTTTTACTTTAATTTTTGCTAAAATCAGAATCTCACAAAAATTTTAGATTTTAATTTGTCAAAATTTCAAACAAAACATATTGTTTGTATCTGAAATATTTCACCACTGAAACAATGAATTTGTTTTAATTTTTGTTCAATGTTTTAGAAAATTGAGATGATGCAATCTCCTCATAGATCACCTTCTCACTGATGACTTTTCCTAGGTAATTTCCTCATCTGTCCAATTATATTGGTATAATTAATAAGACTGGCTTGCAATGACTGTGCAGTAAAGCTTTCGTTCTGAATGTTTCTTCTTTCATTATATTTGGTTTCATAAAACGGTTTTGTCCGTCTCCCTAAAATGGTTATTCTCGTCTTGGATGAAGCAACCAATGTAGAAATCGACAACTCGACACTCCTCGAAAACACAAGAAGAGTAATAAAAGCTTGTTACGATATTTACGGAGCATCATATATAGTTAAAAAACTCTCTGCACTTTGCAGAATTTCTGTTATCAGTCTAAATAACCATTTTACTAACCACTCCCCAAATGCTTGGTGGAAATCAATCACAAATGAATTTATTTGTAGATGAAGTATCTGCGTCCACGGTTATGTCGTCTTATATCTCTAATAGATGTTGATTTCATTGACATAAATAAAATTACAAATGAAATTTAATTGAGAATAAATGCTGGGTATATTAGTAATGATGAAGGTAGGGATATCAATTGGTTTCACAAATTTCTTTTTTCAGATTTTTTCCAAATCCCTCATTGTGCAGGTCTCTGGAAGAATAATTTTCAAATTAATTACTAGTAAAGTTAAGCACCTAATCAAAAGAGGCAGTATAAAGTTAATGAGATTTAGTACCTGCTAGAATTTCATCGCAGTTATCTGCAGATCACGATAAATAATGTAATTATTGTTAAAGCCGTTAAAATATTTTTATTGAGTCAGAGAAAATATTTGTTCGATCCTAAGCAAACGCAATAAAATGTCATTATATATTTGCTCGAAATATTGCTTTTGAAAGAGTGAAAGAATCATTAAACAGCTATCAAACGAGAATTATTGAAATGAAATTTATTCTTCAAACAAATGCAGAATGAAAGCTTACTGTCTTCGATCAGGAAAAAAAATTTCTGGAAAGTTCCAGAAAAATTGACAACATAGGACATTTCAGTTGATTCACCTATTCATTAAAATGATAAGTTATTGAAAATTATTTATTTCACTTCTAATTTTATGACCAAAATATATCTTCCACACCAGTGAGATCATCGCCAGCATCACATGATAATTCAAAGAACATATCCAATTAATGTTTGAACTCCTCATATTCCACTTCATGCAAACATTATTTCCTTCAATCGCCTACTTATCAAACTTCTTCCTTGGCCTCTCCGAAATTTCCAATCAATTTTATGTCGCTTCTTAACTCTCTAAACAACAATAATGTTGGATATAACCAAGATTATCACAAAAACTTTATCACCTCTTGTATAACGTTATTTTTAAAGCAGATATGTTTAACAATCTTCTCTAAAGTGATAAGATTGATTCACAAAATACGTCATCTTCGCTTCTTCACTCAAAACATTTGAAGTTGGGACGTCTAAATATCATTATCAGGTGGCATTACTCTCATTACAGTAAGAATTATTTTGTGCCTAGTTGTCGAGGTGAGATAATATAGTTTCATTGTGAAGTACTCATTACTGATACCTGAAAAATCCCTCAGGTACAAGAGGAATACATAGTGAAAGACAAAAAGCAAAAATTTCCTCTCAAAAAACCATTTCGACATTTTATTACAAGACGGAAATTGCGAAATTGTTAATGTTGAATTATTATGCGATATATCCACTGAAGAATCACGATAAATTGAGAAAGAGCTGGAAGAAGTCTAAAATCTGTGATCAGAAAATTAACGATTTAAAGCCTAAATAGCTAATGGATTGATACTAAGTGTCATAACAGCGCTAGAATCTATTCTGTAATGCTAATCAGAATAAGAGGACAGCGGAAATAAACAGAGGAAAATTGGATAGAGCAGAAATAAAAGCTGAAATCTTTAAAGGACAATTTCAAATTTTTATAGCTGCGTGCAACACGACCTTTCAGTGTGATATTTCGATTTTCTTATAATTACATTAAGAGACTCCTTATATCTGCAGACAATTTTAGTGAAAGGGATAACATAGTTGCTGTTCAGAAGGATTGATAAAAATTAAGGGAAGTTGTAGAAATTCTTGACAGGTAGTATATTGTCAGTAAAATAACAATAACTGTTAAAAAATGCGATTTTTAGCTATAACAAAAATGTTTTCTTTTTCTGTTTGCCTAATCAAAGGCTTGCAAAGCAGCTGTTGAAAAAAAAGTTTGGATATGCTGTAGTGAATGATGATGATCTACGTATGGCCAAGTGTTGAAGACTAGGAAAGTGATTCAGAACCAGGCCACATATTTTTGCATACATTTTTCTCGATTTACATTTGAATGTTTGTTTAGATTTTTGGAAATTTTTGTTTTATTTTAAAGGAAATTATGCAAAGAAGTTGCAAATATGATTAAATTTGTTTCCTTCTCAAACTATGTAAAAATCTTTTGAAGTGCAATTAACACATTTATTTCGATCACAACCGTATCACACTGGTCATATTGAATTTAAAGCTTCTGCACATGTCAGTATGCATAGTTTTGAAAACAAAAGCAGTAAAAGTAGTCCATCCGGATTATTCTCAAATTTGAGTGCTGACTCTCATAACACACTTCAATACTAAGCACAAGACGATGGCGTTTTTGTATTATACTGAAACGTTTAAAAGTTACCAGAAGAAGGATGCAAAAGTTTGATTTTTATTTCAAATTTAAAAAATCCCCAAGTTTTCTTTTCCTCTTTCTTAACGGAATTTTATTTTTGTTAGTCTATTTATCATGGTATCTTTGTCAATTGTTGCTGTCATCGACGGCTCAAAAAGAAATGCAAATGCCCGAACTACCTCAGCGAAGGAATTTTTAATTCCCTTGTTTGCTTTTATTAAAGTTTCACTTTTAATTCACAACAAATGTTATTGCTTGCCACTATTTTTGTCGCTATTTGATTCGCTTCTTGACAGAGTTGCAACTTTTCCCAGTGCTTTTTCTTTTCAGACGACAATTTCATCTGCTTTCTTTTGTTTAGTTATTCTTTCTCAATTGATATTTGCTTTTAAACGAATGAAACATTTATATAAGAATCCATTAAAGACATCACTCGGTAGCAAAATCTGTTTTAGAAATGTGATATCTTTTTTAACTAATTCTGATTTAAAATAATGCCTGAAACTGATATCAGCGAGTGACGCCATTGTTATAATCAAGTGCTGTTCTTCAGACTTTCAACTGATGTTTAATTTCAACTTGTAATTTCCATTTCCTTTGTTCTTTTCGTTACTATTTATCAAATTTATGAGTTGGTTTTCCGAAATTTTGAAAAATTAATTTAGCTTTATTAGTACTCGTTGTTCTTTGAACTCAAACATGTATGCAGTTTCAAAGATCTGTAATAGATTCGAAACTTGCAGTAACTGTCAGTTTA